GTTACTTTAATAATACTTTAGTATGACGAGATGATCTACAAAAATCAGCCAATCACAATAAAAGTTCGCTATGCTACCTCCACCTACAACTACTCTACCACCTCCACCTCAACATACAACTCCTCTACCACCTCCGCCTCCAACTGCAAATCCAAATGTTGTAGTAATAGATCTACGGGCGTACCCCCTAGATTTAATCAAACTTAATTAATAGACAAAACAAAGGAGGACCCATCAATCGTTTAACCGCTTTTATAATTATTTTACACAATAGCCAAAAGGATAGCTAGTTAAAAATTGCTAAGAGTATGTACAAAAATTTTGGAAGATTCTATTTATCTATTTATTTAATTTATTTATTTATTATTTTAATGTTTGAACGACTATAATACTATTTTGTTTGATGTTTATTATTTGTTTATTGCGAATTTGGTTGAGCAATGCATTTATATTTGATAGATTGTATTTTTGTGCATCCACGCGAGCGAATTTTTTCTTTCAAACTAAAAAGGAAATGGTTTATTCCAACATTTTATACGTACATACGTACGTACTTGCTCTTTAAAGAGATACGTACTGTACGTTACGCAAATACCAGATCTAGTTCTAAAGCAGGTCCCTAAAAGTTATTTACTGAATCCATGCTGTATTTGTAGAAAAAATAATCGCAAGGCTTAGCTCTTTTTAAATCGAATTTTGTTATTTCAACTTCAATAACCTTATAATACAGTGTATTTGAATAGGCAATTTTCGTTTAGGCCGTTGAAAATTAAATCTTCTGCTAAATATACTGATACATTATTGGTCAAAAATTGGTAAATATCGGTAATTTAAATCAACCTAACAAATTGTTGGTTGACACGTGCTGTGAAGTGGTACGTGTTCAGTTGTCAAGTTGAGAAAATTACCGTTATTGACCACAGCAATCCAGCAATTTCTATTATCTTGATATGTGTATGCGAATGTTGACCTATATAATTGACCTATATAAACGTCACATGAAACTTCTACACAAAATTTCAATATTATATGGCTTGTCAATATCAAATATGGAAAAGAACAAACATTTCGTGATAAACCATGTCAAAATATTGGTATAGTAAGTATAGGCGAGATTCCAAGATTTTTCATTCTGCAGCGTTCATTTAAATCTTTTCATATCTAATAGTATGCGATAACAAGTCTTAAGATACACTGCATGAATTTACTCCATCTCAGATCATTGCATTTTAGAAATTGACTAGCTCTTAACCCCCCCTCTCTCTTAGTAAACCAAATTTTTGGGATATACATATATGATTTGGCCAGAGCTGGCAGAATTAAGATTAGAAATTATATGGATCTGAAAATTTCTGAAGAGAAAACGAATGAACATAAAAGATGAGCAAGGTCAGGCCGATAATTTTCGATTGAAAAAAAATTCTAATAAAATTTACTATGTATACGTTCCACTCTCCCCCTCTTGAAGAAGGGATGTAATATAAACCACCAAATCAAGTTGGTCTCACCTAACTGCTTCAGATTTTAGTGCTCTTCGATGTTGGTATTTTAGTGGCATTTTCGTTATTTTTTTTTGGCTGTAGCACTAACTTTTTGTGTTTTTATTTTAGGTTCTTTAGGTAACGATATTTGTTCATGCTTTCATAGTCCTTCGTTATTGGCATTATTTGAAATTAGGTCTGTACATATTTGGTGGATTTAGTTAATTTAACAGTAATGGCCCCTGTACGACCTACAAAGCATCCTCCAAATAAAAAAATTATTAAGAAAAGCTGCTTTTAACTGATTACACCACCCTTTAACTGATTACCAGAAAAAAGGAAACAGTGCTTGCACCAAATAAAAACATTTAATTTTGCACGTACGTACATACGTGTATATATAATTTTATATCGTTATATAATGAGCTTATCAGTCTAATTCCACCCCAACTGGTTGGCCGATACCCTTAATTTTGGGGGCTGTATAAAAATCTGCTGATATGGTTACTTTTGTTGGCAGTTTGTCACATCGTGTACAAGGTTGGACTTGTGTCTGTGTCAGGATGAGTGTTAGGATCAGGGTTGTCGGTTAGTATTGTTGTGCAATTGCAGTCAGGGATTTTACTACATTAGGGGGACGTCTAAAGCGGAGATAAATCACGTGATCTACCGCTAATCAAGTTTATGGTTGGGAATTGCTACCGACACAACAAAACACGTGCTTATCGACACAGCAAGTGACCAGCACTAACCTTAACGACACAG